GTGAGGGCTCTGGTTGGGGGTGCACGCTCCAGGGTGGGGCCAGAAATAATGAGTTCAGGGTGTGGGAGACGGCTCCAGGCTGGGGCGGTGGGGAGGGTGAGGGCTCGGGCTCTGGCTGTGGGCTCTGGGGTAGGGATGAGGAGTTTGGGGTGTAGGAGGGTGCTCTGGGCTGGAAGTGAGGGTTTGGAGGGCGGGAGGGGGATCAGGGCTGGGGGTTGGGGCTCAGGGGGAGGCTCAGGGTGCAGGCTCTGGGCAGTGCTCACCTCAGGTGGCTCCCGGAAGCAGCAGCATGTCCCTTCTACAGCTCTTACGCAGCGATGTGGCCAGGCGGCTCTCTACACTGCCCCATCCGCAGGTGCCAGAGGGGGCCATTGGAGGCGGGCCATGCTGCTGCTTTCGGGAGCTGCTCCCTGGCAGGTGCGCCGGAGGGAGGGCCATGCCATGGCTTCTGGGAGCTGCATGGAGTGGCCCCCTACCCTGAGCCCCAGCTGGAGCACCGGAGCAGGGCAAGCCCCAGATCCCGCTCCCCAGCGGGAGCTTGAGGGTCGGCCTAAGACGGCTGATGAGCCAGATGTGGGCTGTGGGCCGTAGTTTGCCCACCCCTGTGCTAGAGACATCATAAATGCCATTATCACTGAAGCAGGGCTGTGGTGATGATTTAAGTCAGTGGTTCTCAACCAGGAGTCCAAGCCCCTGGGAAGCCTTGAGCAGGTTTCAGGGGGTCCACCAAGGCCAGGGTTAGATTCACTGGAGCCCAGGGCAGAAAGCCAAAGTGCTGCCATATGGGTCTGAAGCTCAGGGCCCTGATCCCTACCACCCCGGGCTGAAGCCGAAGCCTGAGCAATGTAGCTTCACGGGGGGCCCTGTGGCATGAGACCCCAGGCAATTGCCCTGCTTGTTGCCTCCTAATACTGGCCCTGGCTTTTATATGCAGAAAACCAGTTATTGTGGCACAGGTGGGCCGTGGAGTTTTTATAGCATGTTGGGGGGGCCCTCAGAAAGAGAGAGGTTGAGAATCTCTGATTTAAGTAGAGCCGGGCAGGAAACAGTTTTCTGGTCCTATAAAAATTTTTTGAGAATTTGAAAAAAAATTCCTATCCTGAATTGGGCCCAAAAGTCTATTTCATATTTTCATGAACTGAAAAAAAAAATTATTGGATTGGTCAAAACAGCTGGTTTTGATTTCAATTTTTTTGAATTTGTTTTTTTACTATAAATTAACTTACATTTCTAAAGTGAAAAGTCTTGGAACATTTTAGGATTGAAAATGACAAAATGGGATGTTTTGAGAACTTTAAAATGAGATATGGGAAATCTGTTGAAACAGACCCTTTCGTGTGAACAGTTTGTTTTGATGAAGCAGTGTTTTCCAACAAAAGACATTTACTTGAAAAACACCCAACCAACTCTGTTTTAAGCACCGGTTCCCAACTTTCCATCAGCTCTTCAGCATCAACTTCATTCAGGAGCCAAAAAATGCCTAAGATCAAGCACTGTTTATCCCATAAAAACACTGAAAGGCAAAGGCTTAAAGTTACAACCTCTTTTATGACAGGTTTCAGAGTAACAGCCGTGTTAGTCTGTATTCGCAAAAAGAAAAGGAGTACTTGTGGCACCTTAGAGACTAACCAATTTATTTGAGCATAAGCTTTCGTGAGCTACAGCTCACTTCATCGGATGCATACTGTGGAAACTGCAGAAGACATTATATACACAGAGACCATGAAACAATACCTCCTCCCACCCCACTCTCCTGCTGGTAATAGCTTATCTAAAGTGATCACTCTCCTTACAATGTGTATGATAATCCAGTTGGGCCATTTCCAGCACAAATCCAGGTTTTCTCACCCTCCACACACAAACTCACTCTCCTGCTGGTAATAGCCAATCCAAAGTGACCACTCTCTTTACAATGTGTATGATAATCAAGGTGGGCCATTTCCAGCACAAATCCAGGTTTTCTCACCCCCCGCCCCTCCAAAAACCACACACACAAACTCACTCTCCTGCTGGTAATAGCTTATCCAAAGTGACCACTCTCCCTACAATGTGCATGATAATCAAGGTGGGCCATTTCCAGCACAAATCCAGGTTTTCTCACCCTCCCCCACCCCCATACACACACAAACTCTCTCTCCTGGTGGCAATAGCTCATCCAAACTGACTGGTTAGTCTCTAAGGTGCCACAAGTACTCCTTTTCTTTCTCCTTACAATGTGTATGATAATCAAGGTGGGCCATTTCCAGCATAAATCCAAGTTTAACCAGAACGTCTGCGGGGGGGTAGGAAAAAACTCTTTTATGCTGGTAACATTGCCTTTAATGTAGTGCAGAATGGACAACTGAAAAAAATAATTGAATCATTTTCTGGTGGATAGTTTCCTTCAGAGAGACTTATGCTCACAGGTTCACTGCTAGGTGCTGCATGTAAAAAAACGAAGGAAAAAAGAGATATTAAAAAAAATCACATTGATATTAACGCAAGATAGTCGAAGGTTAGAATTTGTCCTATTGTGGCTGTGAATGTCCACATAGGAAAAATACATTCCAGCATAATGCCATTGATTCTAGAGTTGAAAAGACCATATCCAAATGACTGGAGATACCCTCTAGGAATGCAGAGAAAAATATGACAAGAAGACCTTCACCATTTGTTCAGAACAACAAAGGAGAGAATTTCTCAGAAGTGTTCATTTTTATTACTGGTTTCCATAACATCCACCTTGTGCTATTTGCTTTACAAACTCAGAAGAATTCATCCTCTGCCCCAAATTCCTGGTGCATGGGTATTCAAAACACTACTTAAAACTCATTGAGAAAGAAGTAACATGTAGCACAGTCCTAAAACTTGTTGTGCGTGACATGTTGAGAAATTCTTTTGCAACCACCAGCAGCCTTCTTTTTTGTTGTCCAGAAAAGGTTTAATGCCCCAGCTTCCAAAGAAATGCAGGGGAACTAGAGAAGTTCTTGTCTGTTTGCATTCAACACCACAGATATGTTGAAATTTGCACTGGTATGAGGAGGATTTTGATTGGAAACATGGTATGCTTTTTACACAACAAGGTATAATACAGAGCATCATTACAAATTAGGTGAATTTGGGGGAATTTTGGCAGATATAGGCTCATGACACATGTCAATGTGGGTAGCTATTTAAAGAATTGGAAGCACACAAGGATAAAATCGAGAGATTTGGAGAAGCTATGGAACCTTTCCATTACTTAGCCAACACGACTAATCCAAAATACAGAAAATATTGGTTGAGCAAGGAACAGCAGAGGCTAGAATGTGACTGATAGAAGTTACAATCCTGAGTTCTGTCCTCCTCTATCATTTAAAATGGAGTATCCAGATTTCGATCACTAATCTGGTTTTGGAGGAAGCCGTGAAAAAGCCCATCTCAAAGTGGTGGAAGATTTCAGACACCTCAGGAGTCAGAATTGCTAACTCCAGAACGTAGTTTTTAAATGCCTTGACCTCCTCCTCAGCCAGCTCTGTTAGTCAACCCTTTCTCTAACCCTGCAAATCTGAATGTAGTAAAACTTCGTAAAGCTTTTCAGTAAAGTTGAAAAAACAAATACACTGATAAAAGTGTGTATTTAATGACTGATAAGAGCAGTAGGTGTAACTAGTTAGTTGTCTAGGGACACATTTAGCGAGTCTGCATGTGTGTGTTCCAGTAGAACTGCAAACTTTTCTTTGCTAACTCTGTTTACGTTTCACATGTCTCGTTAATAAAACCTTGATTTTTTTTTCCCATTGCTTCTTTTTTTTTCCCCTAAGGGGGAAAAAACCTGAGGTTTTTCTTGGTTGAATTAAATTGCACCCTCCCTGTTTCGGAACAGATGTGATATGAGTTAGAACAGAATTTAGAGGAGAGGGTATCTTCTCTGAATACAAACACAGACAGTATATCACAGCTCTTTTGAGGACAAGAGCCCTGGTGACCTGCAGAGCGGAAGGAAGGATCTGATGCACATGCGGCTATTAAAGTAATTTGCAAAATTCCCTTTGGCTAAAGCGGGAGTAGGAGTTGAGTCACAATGGAAGAGCTGAGTCACAGAGTCTCACTATTTTACAAGTATTTTTCTCCTCAGCAGTTTCTCAGTCCTTGTTTTCTTCGGTCTCTTATTTTTGCTTTCGTTTACACTTTAGAATGTTTAGATCTGCTCAAGGGAGTCAAACTGAAGCAGCATCTCTGATGCTGGAAAACAGTTGGACTCCTGTACTAAGAATGTTTGATCTGAGCAGCAGGGATTATACTACACAATTGGAACAGAAAGACTTGCATCACCACAGCTTGGTTACTGAGAGAACAACTCCATTTGGGGATCTGTCTGCATTGCGATTGGCTCTAGATATCTAATTTGCATCTCTGCTGTGTGGTTTTTTCTGTTCATCTGAAGAATGTGAGTTTCTGTACGATGGCTGTCTGATGGGCATCATTAGCTAGAATGCCAGGAAAACCATAACTGGGGAGAAACCCATGTGGCTGTGCTTCTGTGCTGACGTCAGTGTGAGCTGCAGATGCTCATCGCTCCTGAAAATCAGGCCACTTTTTATCTAGGATCTTAACTTTAAACACACGAGTCTGAAAACTTTGGCCTAAATTGCTTTCTGTTGCAATTGAAAACATACTAATGGAGCATCTAGATAATTTTATTTTGAACTTAAATTCTTTCCATACTAAGGGCTTGTCTACACTTGAAATGCTACAGTGGCACAGCAGGCACTACATATGCCGACGGGAGGGGTTCTCCCATTGGTACAGGTAATCCACCTCCCCGAGAGGTGGGTAGCTAGATCAATGGGAGAATTCTTCCATTGGCAGAGTGCTGCTTACATGGGGATTTAGATCGGCTGACCAGCTTCGCTCAGGTGGATTTTTCTGATCCCTGCACAATGTAGCTGGGTCAACCTAACTGTTTAGTGTAGACCAAGCCTAATACTGTCAGTATGTTCAGCATTTGGAGCAACTGGCTTATTTTTCTCTCCTCTTAGGTTCTCATCCAGTGGCGAAGTATCTAGGCTCTGTAGATTACAGGTACAACAACTTCTTCCAAGACTTAGCCTGGAGAGATTTGTTTAATAAACTTGAAGCACAGACCACTGGTAAGAGCCTGTTTTAATTTTTGGGGTGCATGGAGCAAACAACTTGAGTGAGTTAGTAATGTTAGAAAATTGCAAATAAATGCAAGAGCTACAAATCTAAGAGTTTAGAGAATTTCACTGTCTTCCCTTCGCTCTCCAGTTCCATATTGCTTTTTCAGATGCTGACTCTTTTGGAGTCTTAAATGTCATTCTTTGTGGTCTTCCACTGCCACTCCAGGAGATTCAGTGCCTTTCTCAGGATTTCTGTATTTTCCCCCAGATCTTGGTTGGTTGTTTTTTTGTTCCGGGGTCCTCTCCATCACTTTAGCCAACTACCCACAGTAGCTCTTAAGTCTTTCAAGAGTTCCTCAATCCTCTATAGTCTTGACTAATCTAAATTGTTTTAGAGACACACGATGGGGGAGGTAATATCTTTTATTGGACTAACTTCTGTTGGTGAGATAGACGAGCTTTCACCCTTACAGAGAGCTCTTCTGTTTTTTATCATTGTCTCAAAGTAGATAATATCCTTTGCATGTGAGAATAATCCTATTTCTGAAGCCTGCTGGAAGCATCTGTTCCAGTGAAAGACACCCTTTGTCACTGCCCCAACCTGAGTGAGAACCAGCCTGTGTCAGATCAGCAACTAGTTCCCATTCTGTTCTCAAGCAGTTCAACCAGCAAAAAACATGAATGGGTCACTTTACTAGGGAACTTTCCTAACAAGATCACATGGGACCAGATCTATAATGCAGATTCTTTTTACTTCTTTGCTCTACATAACGGTTTTTCCCTCAGAAGCAGAGTAGAATGTAAACATGTTGTTATGCTCTGCCATTCTCACTGAGGTTACATAAGTTATTTAGACAAAAGGAATGTACACACACTGCAGATGCATGCATTGGCAACCTGAATTCTGTCCTTTTGTGTATGTGTATTGTGAGAGCCTTTCATTACACAATCACATACTATTCCTAAAATGCCATATCATTTTTGTACAACCTGACACTCACTTCTAGGGTCTCATCATTTTTATTCTTGTATATAACATTCATTGGCCAAATAGTTTTGTAAGTGATCAAGATAGAATTCTGTCATTCCAATCCAAAGTTCTCGATATAGTTATAGTCAAGTTATAACCCTCAAATGATGGTTCCTATTTTACTCCTGAGGGAATTCTGCACCACTGCGCTTGGCAGAATTCATGTCCCCCACAGATTTCTTTGCTTTCCTGCAGAAAAATGACTTTCTGACAGGAAAGCAAAGGAAAACTTCAAAAGCAGTCATGCACCACTCCCTAGCAGAGCAGGTACATCGTTTCAGGCACCCAGAGTAGCTGGCAGAGAGGTAAATCACTGCAGGGCTGGGGACACTCCAGCCAGTGGCTCCTACCCTGAGCAGGGATCAGCTGCTAGTCCCATCTGGACTGGAGGCAGCTGCTAGTCCCCTGCAAGGAGTGTCTGGTTCTATGTCAGACCCACCCCCAGAAACTTCCCCCAGCTGCAGTAAGCTCAGCATCCTCCCCTGCTTCCTCCCCCCATCGCTCCTCAGCTGTGGGGGGGAGGGGTCACTGTACGGGGAGCTGCTTCCCCATCCACCCAATCCCTGTACATCCAGACCTCCCATACCCAGACACCCCTGCCAAACCTCACTGGGTACATACAGAACTCCCCTAGCCCTCCATACCTGAACCCCACCTCACTGAACCTCAACCCCTGCCTCCAGACCCCTGCTGTTTGTTTTCCAAACGGAAGTGAGATTTCTGTATCAGTGTCTGTAGGCCCATACATGGTGCAGACGTGGTTATGAGGCTGTGCGAGACAACATCACCTTTGTTTCTTCTTACCCATGGTCGAAGTCTGAATTCTTATAGTTTTTTGTTACCTTCTACAGTTTACTGTTAGTATAGTTTCTCACCCTTGCCCGTTTGGGGCCTGGTCTCTGGGGTATTATGCCCCATGTTCTGTGGTTCAAGAACTGTGCTTTGCCTTTGCTCGTTCTCAGTGAGCAACGAGTACCACCCTTGCTTTTACTGTCTCAGGGAAGCCCATCTTGCTGTGAGATTTGCAGGTCTTTCCCACCGCGGAGTTGAGGCTTGTCTGCTCTGTTTCAGTAAGTTCCTCATGGAGGAGGTTCTCCAGCTGTATGCACCGTTCGATCCGGGACCATCGTTAATGGGCAGCAAGCAGTCTGGTACAGACCTGCCTCCTGTGCTCCCATGCCCAAACAGGCAGAATCAGGTACATCTCTACCCCGATATAATGCGATCTGATATAACACGAATTCGGATATAACGCGGTAAAGCATTTCCCCTCCCTCCCAGGCTTGCGCAAGCCTGGGAGGGAGGGGGGAGAAGCGGAGTGGTGGTGTGCTCAGGAGAGGAGGTGGGGCATAGGTGAGCTGAGGCGGGGGCGTGGGGAGGGCCACAGCAAGTAACCGGGGGGGGTTCAGAGGAATCACTCCCTGCCCCAGCTCCACTCCGCTCCTTCCTCCCTTCCAGGCTTGCTGTGCCAAACAGCTGATTTGCGGCAAGCCTTGGAGGGAGGCGGGAGGAGAAGCGGAGTGGCGGCAGCACACTCAGGGGAGGAGGTGGGGCGGGGGGGGCAGGGCAGGGAGCTGCTAGTGGGTGCTCCAGCCCCAGAGTTGGCGCCTACGGCAGAAGCATGTCTGGCTCTGACATTCTGGCCAGGGGGTTGGATAAGGGGCAGAGGGTCTCGGGGTGGGGGGGGTGTCAGGGGACAGGGAGCAGGGGGGGTTGGATGGGTCGGGGGTTCTAAGGGGTCAGTCAGAGGTCGGGAAGTTGGTGGGGGTCAGAAAGGGGGCGGGGTCAGGCTGTTTGGGGAGGCACAGCCTTCCCTACCCGCCCCTCCATAGCAAGTTCGATATGACATGGTTTCACCTATAACGCAGTAAGATATTTTTTGGCTCCTGAGGTCCGCGTTATATCGGGGTAGAGGTGTACTTGTCCCCCAGTAAGGGTGGACTTTGTCTTCTCTCACCTGCCCCTCCTTCATTGGTGATACACATGGCAAATAAACACTTGAGACAGCACACACATGGCTCTGCCCCTCCACACAGGGCAGCTAAATGCCTGGATCTTCTGGGCCAGAAGGTCTTCTCTTCCATAGCATTTTAGTCTCACATTACTAACTACCAGGCTCTGCTGGCAAAGTATGCCTTTACCAACTGTGCCAAGCTAGTAGAGTTCCTGGATGACTTGCCACTGAACAAACGGCAACACTTCCAGGTCCTGGTACAAGAAGGTTGCCTGACAGCCAAGGTGACCCTCCAGGTTTCAGTCAAAGCAGTGGACATGTCCTCCTGCTCCCTCACCACCAGAGGTAGTCATGCACCGAGAGTTGTGGCTACAGTTCTCCAGCTTCCCATGGGAGGTCCAAGACCTCCCCTTCAACCAGGACAAGCTGTTCTTGTATAGGACTGCTGAGTCCCTTCACTCCCTGAAGGACTTGAGGGCGATGCTTCAATGTCTTGAGAGATACTCCCCAGCAGAGGCAGCAATGACAACGCTCGGGACCCCGGTCCTTTGCGCTGTACCAGACCCCTTGCCCTGCTATCAGGACGCCCCCACAAAAGCACACAAGTCCCAGCGGCCTCAGCCACTGTCACAGCCACCTCTTCCTCCTTGCCTCAACAACCACCTCAGGCACAGTTTTGACACGTGCATCGGGAGCTGCAAGCCCCCCATGTCACCACCCTCGGCCCCCTCTGTCACATTTGGGGGCCATCTTGCCCTTTTTGCCCACAACTGGGGCAAGCTTACCATGAACCGTTAGGTGCTGGAGATTGTGTGGCACCGTTACTCTCAAGTTTCTTACCTTCCCGCTGCACCTGCCCCCCGGACTCGTACAGGGGATCTCTCCCATCACGCCCTCCTGCAATGCAGGGCACGCACCTTCCTAGACAAGGGTGGATGGAACAGGTAGTCAATCCCTTTGTTGGCAAGGAGTTCTACCTTCTGTACTTTCTTATCCTGAAGAAGGACAGAGAGCTCCCCCTCATCCTCGATCTCCCCCTTCTCAACACCTCTATCAACAAGACCAAGTTCCATATGGTGATGCTCACCTTGATCTTTCCCTCCCTTCTCCAGGGAGTCTGGTTCACAGCTCTCAATATGAAATATCAACATCTGCCCAGTCCACTGCAAATTTCTTTATTCCGTGTGGGCGCCAACCACTAGCAGGTCAGAGTTCTCCCCTTCAGTATCATAACAGCCCATGGGCATTCACGTCACGTCCTCCCATGCCAAGCTTACATCTGCGATTCATGCTCTTTGCTCTCTCCTCACTACGCTTGGCATTTATATCAACGAGAGGACAAGTGCTGATTTCTTAACGCAGATGATCCACTTTATTGGTGCCCGCCACATTTCCATGGTGGCTCGTGGCTTTCTCCTGGTGGACTGCTTCGCTGCGCTGATGGCTGTGGTGGAGGACCTACACCACAGTCCCTGCACCATGGTGTGCTGCTGCCTCCTCGGGCACATGATGGCCTGCACCTATGCAATGCTGCATGCCCGCTTGCACATGCGCTGCCTCCAGATGTGGCTCCTGTCAGTTGTCCAGCCCCATAACGCCCTGCTGGATAGCCCACTGCTTGTCCCATGGTCGGTTTGGGCTTCCCTCATATGGTGGCCCAACCCTTCCAAGGTGCTCATTAGCACTCCCTTCACTGCGCTGTCACGACTATCTCCCTGACCACAGATGCCTCCCTCGCCGGTTGGGGCTTTCATCTGTGCACACACACCACCCAGGGGGTTTGTCGCAGCGTGAGGCCTGCATACACATCAATGTACTGGAGCTCCGACCAGTCCGCTTGGCCTGTCTGTCCTGGCCTCCCACCCATGCCGCTCATGTTCAGCTCCTCTCCGACAATACCATGGCTGGCAGTGGCCTATATCAACAGGCAAGGGGGCACCAAATCCCTGTCACTCTGTACGGAATCCATCTACCTCCAGAACCAGTGTATCCACCACTATGTCATGCTCCGTGCGGCCTACCTCCTGGGCATGCAGAACTCCCTGGCCATTGTGGTCAGCCAGCATTGGTACATCAGTCACAAGGGGGAACTCCATGGCCCCTCTCTCCACTCCCTCTGCCATACCAGGGACATCTCTCGGTGGGACCTTTTTTGCCATGTGCAACAATCACAAGTTCCCCCTGTACTGTTCACTGAGGGCCATGGAGCCTGGCTCCCAAGGAATTGCTCTCCTCCTGCCTTGCTGCAGCAAACTCCTGCCTTCCATCCCCATTCATCTCCTTCCCCGGGTCCTACAGAAGATCTGACAAGACCCCAGGCCACGATTATCCTAATCGCCCCATTCTGGGCCAGTCAGTTTTGGTTTCTGGATCTCCTAAGATACTATGCCTGCTCCCAGACCTCCTCACCCAGGACCAGGGGCAGTGTCTGCCACCCCAACCCTGGCCTCCTTCATCTCACAGCCTGGTTTTTGGATGGGACTCAGGAATAGACAAAGTCTGTTTGACACCGGTGTGACTCATCCTTACGCACCGTAGGCAGACCTCCACCAGAGCGTCCTACACAGTTTCACCCCCTGGGCTCGACACCATCTCCACCCCTGCCATCCTGGACTATCCCCACACTTCTTCATGGTTATTGCGGACAGATCCGGGGGCCAAGCCTCTCCTCCCAGCACATCTCGAAGTGGGTCTCAGCACGCATCCAAGAATGCTATGTGCTAACACCATGCGACCTGGCTGAATTACGGCACACTCAACGTCGTTGCAAGTGGCCACCTCCACCACCCTGGCTGATGTATCGTGGCATTCTGTGCACACTTTTCACCACCCACTATGCCATAGCCTGAGAGTGGCAGCTGATACAGCTGTGAGTTGCACCGTCCTCCAGACTGTAATAGCCCTTGCATCCTCGCACCTCCCTCTGCAATGATCATTGCTTGCTACTCACACGCACTTGGAATACATATAGGGCCCATCACTCGAAGAAGAAGAAGAAGAGGAGGTTACTTACCTGTAACTGGAGGTTCTTTGAGATCTGTGGTCACTATTTGTATTCCAGTACCCGCCCTCCATCCCCTCTGTTATGGTCATCAGTAAGAGGATGACTGGGGGAGTGTCATCCTGCGCAGCCTCATATAACCTCACCTGCACCACGAGGCTACGTGTGGTGCATGTGTGAGTTGATGAGCACTGCTACAGAAATCTTCTGACTGAGTTCATGGTGCGCATGTGCACTTGTGTTTGGAATACAAATAGGAGCACACATCTAGAAGAACTTCCAGTTATAGGGAAGCAATTTCCTCTTTTCCATTACTCTTACAATTAATCATCAATACTGATGACAACATTGACGTAAAAATTCACCATACACACTTCACACAAACCTGGACTCTGACAAGCACAAGCTTACAAACTTTCAGTTTCTCACTAATATATTTAATTTTTAAACTCTAAAGTATTTTATCATTGATATTCCTAACCTGGCATTTTTCTGTATTCTCAGTTAGGAATTCAGCAGGGCTATGAGAGTTAATTAGGAAGTCAGGTTGTCCAGAGACTTCAGTGAGCAGAGCAACTCTTTAAGGTACTGGGAACTAAGAGTGTAGGCATTTCCCTTATTTAGCTCCTTAAAGTCTTGAGGGAGAAGAATGGAACTGGCTCACAGATGAACCAGTTCAGCATCAAAGCAGTTGCTTTAGCATGTAGGGTTTTCAGCAAATGAAGCTACATATATAAAGCTTTGCATGGCAGACTTGTTGGCAATCATTCATTCCATACCAATGCACTTTCCCAAACATTTTATTTGAAATCTATTCTTTCCTGAATTGTCCAATGTTCAGTTTTGTTTGGGAATCTACAAAAGTCATTGGTCATAGGCTGCAAAGAGTTAACTTTTCGGGAGAAAATGCCGAAGTTCTTAAATCGGGAAAAGAAGGTCAGTTTTGATTAGTTTGTGTCCTTGTTCTAGAGTTTAAGTCTCAGGGGAAAAAATAGTCCATGGAAGCACATAAGGTCAGCATAGCTTGTTGCTATTGAGTTGGTGGCTGTTGGATAAAAATAAAGCTTAGAAAGAAACTCTCCTTGGAATCCCAACAAAGTTACAACTGATGTCTTCCATACGGTATGTATTATAGTCCAAAGTCACACCGATTTTTCTCTTCAACCAGCAGCACTGCCTTAGTTGCTAATGAGACTGGCTTACCTCCAAATTTAAGTGAGCTATATGTGCCCGTAAAACTTTTCTTTATGCCTGTGTAAGAACTTACTATGTTTTCCCTTGTAATGAACTCCATTTATCTGGCATGCACAGGCACGTGTAGTGGTGCATGCGTTACTTCAAGGTTGAAGAAGAAAATGTGATCTTGTACTGGATGAGCACATGCAGCATGACCTTCCATAGCTGTGCATTTTACAGATAGAGAGAACTCTGTGTAAAATTGTGCTTTATAGAGTGGAATTTTCAACAGGTTGTAATTTATTTAAACAAAATCCGTTTTCATTCTACTCGGTGCTTTATGAGCATTGGCCAAGTCTGAAGTTTTTTCGGTTTTTTAGGAGTAATTGTTATTTTTTGCTGCTTTTCCTTACTGAAAGTTTCTCCAGTTGCTGAAGAATGACATTCCTCAAAGACATTCAAGAACTACTACCTTTTTTCAAAATGGCTGCCATTTCCTGCAATGGGATTTGGGCCACAGGTGCCCTCTGTTGATAAATAGGCTCTCTTTTGAATTGGCTACCAAATGGGAGTGAAGCCTTCAGGGAAGTTCATTCTCATTGGAAGCCATGATTGGTGATGGCCAAGCCAGAAGAGGGCATCCTAGTTCATGGCTCTCAATCCCATTGAGACCATAAGGAGATGGCAGCCATTTTGAAAGACAGCAGTTCTTTGTGAACTTCTCTGAAGAAAGTTTATGAAGAATGACCAAAAAAAAAAAAAAAAGAATTGTTAAGACTTCTTCAAATGTAGCCAATGCACACAACTTCAGTGAGTTTTAACATATGGGAAGTCTGAATTTTCATTATTTCCATTAATAACATTCAGAACAAAAAATGGTCTGACAGAAATTTAGCATCCTGTAAAACCCATCTTAAATTATTTTTTAACTCCTAAACTAATAGGTTTGCTTGTGAATTCTCAGAAGACCCATTCTGTGCTCAAAAAAGTGGTGCCAAAAGTTTGAGGAGGATACTTGGTACTCTTCGTACGTAAGAGGCCGAATTCCTATTTTAAATGCAAAACTCAATTCAGCCTTCACCATGGAACCATGGCTACCTCTGCCAAAACACTGTTTTTTCCTTCTATGCTTCTGTGTGAGGGGAACCAGCATTTTGGGTCTTTTCAGAAGGCCGATGCTGCATCCCCTTGGGGGTAGAGCCTTACACCACACCGTGGGTGACCCCTTTGTTCTCCTTCGCCCAAGGTCATTGCCGTAGCAGAAGTCATGCACTCAGCTCTGAGGACTAGAGAAACTCTCATGTTGCTATGCAGCGGTGCCTCTCCTCTCTTCTCTAAGCAAGGGGTGCTGTTGAGCCACACACTGAACTCTTGGGGAGGAGCACATGGCATTGATCTTGTTAGTCTTTCTTGCTGTCTGCTCTGGTTGGCACCTTGTTTTGAAACATATCTTTCTTTCTAAATTTGAGTCCCTCTTTTCATTACCCAATTCTTGACCAAGCGACTGACAGTGTCCCCTATTTTTCTTTCTTGCCCTGGTTGATCTTGCATGATTTAATTTGCTGGTGACATTTTGCAGTTTCCATTAGTGAAGAATAGTCCTTATTCTGCTCCTGTCTCTTCTTTTCATTCTGTTGCAGTTCAGGAAACACCAGATATTGTCTCCAGAATAACCCAGTATATAGCCGGGGCAAACTGTGCACACCAGTTGCCTATTGCAGAAGCAATGTTGACGTACAAACAGAAAAGGTACGTTGTTTCAGTAATGATTTCCAAAATGTCAGGAAGTCCACGGAGGATGGGGGAAACACCACTTCATTCTCTTGTTACACACAAATATAGCTGGCCACCTCAAAACTGTTTGAGAAACAACCTGTAAGAGCTGCATATTCAAATCAAGAACTCTTTCAAGGAACAGTCCCTGGCACCGTGAGTGTCGTCAGCTAGATAGCAGAAATTTGCGTTACTTTCTTCAGCACAGTTGATATACCTGAAGAGCAAAGAAGCCTGGGAGGAACCTGTATACCTGCTTGGTCTCCAGATGCAAAGGAATTCAGATATCTGGCTTTGCTTACAGTGCCAGTGTCTGAATGTTTTGTGAGGGGGAGCGCTCAGACCTCAGAGCATGAACTCTGCCTAGCCCTCGACCAGGGTGTCTCTGAGGGGTCCTGGCCTCTGCCTCCTTAAGAATTGGTGCAAAAGCCTGGGTAGAGAATACTGCCTCAGCGCCCATCTGACAGGTGAGGGAAGGAGCTGCTCCTCTCCTTGGCAGCTACAGCATTACTGGGGTCCCAGTCAGGACGGCTGGAGCTCACCAGGGTTTACTTCAGCTTTGGCATGGATATTGGGCTTATGAGATGTGGGTTGAGAGGAGAGTACGGGAGTCAGGAAACAGGATAGGAGCAAAGCGGGAGCGGGGCAGAAGCGGCTATGCCCAAGTATAGCAGTGAGGATGGGGGACCTATGGGAGTGAGGCCCAATGTTGGCATAGGAGTTTTCTTATCTGTTTAAGACGAAGTAATCCAATATTAGCAAGATTGAGTTCTTGTATTTCCTGATTCCTTTAGTTCTCAAGGTAGCTTTAACTCACCTGCGTTACTTTTTCAATTAGTGACAAAAATCGCAAATATAGCGTATATGCCACATGGGTGAGGTAAAGCTGAGTTTAATGATACTTCCTAAATTGGTGCAGAACTTGTGACTTTAATGGTACACTGGTACCATGGTAGTTACTTCACATTCAATTTTTATAGGAGTAGAAGCTAAATTTACAAGCAATAATTACTCGTTATTTTTCTTTTCTCTTTGAAAGTTGGGAGCATATTTGTTTGCAATCCTCTAGTTGCTCCCCATTTCTTTCTGGAGGTAACTGAAGTGGTTCAATAAAATCCTTAGTTCACTCTCATAGCCCCCTCAACTAGATATCTCCAGAGCTGCCGATTTAGTAAATATTTGAATACTCTAACCTGCTTGTCTCATTAGCTGTATTTTAATGTCTCCCTTACTTCCTGCCCAAACTTTCTTCTGTAATATTAACCTAATAACACTTTAGCCATTTGGTTGCTTAGCCATTGTGGCACCATGATTGATTGTCTCACTCCTGATTTATGAATGAAACTGCATTCTCTCCACAAATAGCAGGAGAAAATTCTAAATCTTTTTACTACAGCATTAACTTGTTCTAATATTGCTGCCTTTGTCTTTCCTGCATGCTTTAACTATTGTATTCTTGTTTGGTTCCCCCTTGACTTCTCCATTTCTAGTACCGGTTCCTGTTTATAATGAGCACTCCCATTTAACCAGTTTACCCACTTTGACTTTCTGCCATGCCCAGGTTGGCTGATCTAAGAATCAAGTTTGCAAGTGGTACTTTGTTGAAAACGTTCTGACATCTAGCTAGACGTCACATGTGTTTCCCTGGTCAACAGCCTGTCTGACCTCCTTACTAGGAGGATAATTCTGTCTGAGATCAGCTGTTCAGATTTCTTTAAAGTGTGCTGGTTTCTATTTACACCCATGTCTGTCCACCCCATTCCATCAAGCTGTCTTTTATAATAGATTCGGGCAGTTCACGCAAGCCTGTAACAGATCATAGTTACCTTACTCCACCTTTTCCCTTTTTAAAGATAGGCTTGGCATCACACCCTTCAAGGTCCTCTTGGTGCACTGTGCCTGAAGCCATGCAAAGGTTGCTTGGTCTGTCTGGGGCTACCTTGAAGTGAAATAATGAAGAATTTTATTTGGTTCCTCAACCATTGCCACAGGCCCTCACTCCCTGGTATCTTCCTCACTTCCTGGCTAAAATGTGAGGTCATTAGAGTTTCTGGAATCTATTTATGGATCTGTTCAAACAATTTCTGCTTTCAGCCAAGTACCACATAGGGAATTAGAGAGGTTAGGAAAGCAATTTATCACATGGAGTGATGGGAAATTATCTCCCACCTCTGGTTTCCTTCAGAAACTGTGCTCACTGATGGCAGTGACTTGGAGGAATTATTTTTTAAAGTAACATATACAAGTAGGGATCCATTAGCACTACCCAAATGAATGTATTGCTTTCTATCATAAGTATAATAACGTGTTCATTTTTTCCTTTGGTTGCTTTCTGAAAAGGAAAAAGAGCTTTCATTTTGATTTTACCATAAGGTATCCATTCTTTAGGTTCCCTTCCCCATTCTGTACCTTCTGTACTTTTCCTGGGCTGGTCTTTCATATCTTGTTTAACAGCTCCTGCAGGTCTGGGTTGCTTAACTTGTGCTTCAGATTAAATTCTGTTTGTTCCTTTTCACACTCCTGCCTCTGGTGGCAGAATGCACTGTTCCAAGGACCACAGAGCCAATTGTTTGGGGAACCGAAATGCAGGTTTCACAGAAAATAAATTTAAGAATAGAAATGTTATCCAGAAAATAAAGAAGTTTGGCCAGTGTCACTTGAGGGCATGAGAATGTGAAAGTGAAACTAGCCAGTCTTGGTTCCTACTGTCAAAACTGAGTTAAGCAAATGATTTTAATAGGTAACATGTATGTAGAAGTGATTTAGAATTGTGAAGTATTTTGGTTTTAATATATCAGTACAGGTAAGGTTATTATAAACGTGGCTTTTATGTTGATCATGTGCCTTTTATCTTCTAGTCACAGCTATTAGGGGGTTTACTGTGGTATATAAAGAATCCACACTAAACCAAGGTTTTAAGTGTCACCAGAAGTGTAATTTTAAAGAATGTTCTTTGCTCCCAACAATGGCACCAAGTGTACCCCCTAAGTATACGTCTATACTAAGAGAAAAGCTCTGTGACACAGCCGTGACTGACCCAGGCCAGCTGACTTGGGTTGCAGAGCTAAAGGTTGCTGAGCCTGAGCTCTGGGACCATCCACTATTGCAGCGTCCCAGAGCTCAGACTCCAGCCTGAGCCTGGATGTCTGCCAAGCAGTTTTTTAGCCCGTCAGCCCAAGTCTGCTGATATGGGCCAGACGCAGCTTTTTTATCTCTGTGTAGACGTACCCTGAGACTACAGGTTTTGGAACCTCTTCATCTGAAGTAGAAGCATGTGGGTCTTTCAAGATTACAGGCCAGCTGTTCCCTTCCCAATAACAAGTTGAAAGAAGAGAAATGTAGCTCCTGGAATGGAAGCCTCCATAAGTTCAGGCTAGCTTTTGCATATTCTTCAATCTAAGACAAGGTTGTGGGGCGGGCAAACGAGAATGTAGCAAGAGTAGCAGGAGGCATTCAGTTCTCTAACCCTAGTTGGTGTTCGTGGTCTGACAGATGCTGCATTCTGCCCCAGTTCTGAACTGTCCAGTGACCTCTGTTCAGTGTTCCAGTCACAAGGCCTTGTAGAGCTCTCAATCTCCGTACTGAGCTGAGGGAAACAACTTCTTCGAAGCTACTCATTCCTTTGGAGGAAGCAGCTCTATTCTACAAGCTCAATGAAAATTGCTTTTTAGAAACACTTTAAAAATCTTCCCAGCATCCTGGCACTTGCTCTGTTAAATAAGCTCTAGTGATTTGAGGACACCAAAACCAGAGAGAGAAACCAGTCTCCAGAACCTAGCCATATGTAATGAACTGCTTTATATAACTTGTTTGTTGCCAGTTCCTAACTTAACTGACTTCTGCTCTCCTTCCCACCCAACCCGCCCCGCCACCCCTCACCACTTGTTCTGTTTGTCATGGCAAGACTGAAGCATGTACTGCCTGTGATAGACTGCATATTGTCTGAAAGCTTTGCCCCGTTTCTTTGGAGCATCCGCTGACTTTCCCAAAATACAGAGACTTGGGGAGAGGAAGGGGTTTAGGGAGAAAATGATTTGCTGTATTTTGTCTCTTCTGGGTGATGTACTCTCTGTGGTGGGTGGGTGTGGTGGTGGTAGGGTTGGGAGGAGGAGAAATGCTTTAGTTACGGAATAGCAGAAAACTGCTGCAGTCCAGATGAGATTAAATGGTATCAATGGGAAGGGTCATTTACTTACCATGTACTTAGTCATCTTTCACGTAATGCTGATGACCAGGTCTCATACAGACAGACTACGCCCAAAATGTGGGTCAAGGGAGCTACACTGCTCAGGGCTGTGAAAAATTTCACTCTGTATAATGTAGCTAGGTCACCCAAACCCCATTAGAAGAACTATTCCATCAGCCTCGCTACTGCCTTGTGAGGGGGTGGATTTACATCAGAGATGGAAAAACCATTCCAGGGCTGTAGTAAGTGTCTATATGACCAGCACTACTGGTGCGTAGCTGTGTTGCTGGAGCACCTTCTGGATTAGACATACCCTGTTCTCTAGAAGGAAACACTCTATTGTACAGAATTTTTGTAGGCTTTAGTTGTCATAATTGGAACACTTTGTCTGCCAGTGGTAACTCACAATAGTTGTCCAGCCAGGTCATCGAGCATTCATGGCAGTGGACAACAAAGTTAGTGTTGCCCATGGTAATTCTGAAGCCTTGGGGCTTCTGGATCTCATTTGCATGAATCTAGGCTGCAGCTTGGCTTTGGAAATGAAAGCACTGCTCACTTGTATTGGGGAATCTGTCATTTACTGCCTCTTTAAAAATGTAGAGTACATTTGTGATCTGTAAACAAATTCTCTCCTGCTCTATTGCAAACTGAATGGCCCCAGTTGTCATCCCATGCATTAAAAAAAGCACACTGGGTAGAAGGGTAATCAATGCTTTTTTTGCCTCTGTCTTCATGAACAAGGTCAGTTCCCAGGCTACTGTATTGGGCAGCACAGCATGGGGAGGAGGTG